CCCCCCCTCCTTTCATGCAAAAAAAGCTATGAATCAAACGCGAAAAAAAGCATGACCGTGAAAATACATTACTTTAAAAACCGCAATATTAAGTGGAATTGAAGTGTGCCAAACGGAAGTTGATCAACCAACTCATTAAAGGCTTGGAATATGAAAATATCAGGACAAATAATGAAAACCGACTTTTGGAGTATTAGAATCATAACACGGAAATCGTATGAAATTAGGTTTTATTGAAGTGAAGCATTATTTTCCAAAACCAACAATCTTACCTGTGAAGAGCTTTTTTCATCAAAATTGCTGAACTTCCTCCGAGATTGTCATCCAGTCTGAAATTTTGTGCGTCTTCCCTGTTCATATGATCCATTTTATCCTTTACAACGACAAGATTTTGAAGAGCTGCCTTGTTGACCTCCATCACCATATCTGCTTCATAGCGTTCATCCTCAGTGTGGTACATTCCATCCTCATAGGGATTCTTCTTTGAGGTGACAAATTGCGAATCCTCGGAATTCATTGACGAGAAGCTGATGTAGGTGTTATTCAACACTTCTCGAGCAATTGAACTCTTAATTCGACCAGAGCATTTAGGTTGAATAAAGTTGGGTGGAAGCATGCGATAGCTTGCTCCACAAACCCGAAGTTTGGTAAAGTCCAAATCTAAACGCTTTTGCGAAAGCTCGCTAACCGCAGCCACCATCTGGGCAACGGATTGCTGTTGGCGATTCCTATTGCTGCCAGATTCGGGCATGTGGGGACTCGACACCACACTATTAGGGATATAACCCTTTGCATCATCGTCATTTATTAAATCATCGCGTTCTGGAGACCTGTACGAATCCAATGCGCCAGATTCGCTATGAGGCAAAACGAAGATATCATAAAATTGACGACTTAATTCAGGAAAACGATAAAGAGTAGTGTTTGCAGTGTCCATTAAATGCTTTTCACTCAACATTTTGCGATTGTAAAGGTTGAGGGTTTGGAGTAATTGCTGGTAGAATCGACCCGAGTTTTCAGCTTCTAAAGCATTACGAATCTACAAGTGGCATAAATTCTGTAAAATAATGTTACCCTAAGCAATAGAGAGGCTTCAGGTCCACCTGCAGATATTCCGAGATCAGACAGGCTCATATCTCTTGGTTCCTGACGGGATTTCTTAATAGGTACCGGTTCCCCTTGCCCATAACCTTGAGAAGTTGAGGCTCCGGGACCACGTTTGAGCTTCTTCGATTCGGCATGAACTAAGGAGTCAGCTTGACCTCGATTCCATCCAGAACCTTCAACTGATGCGCTACTTCCTACGTACCTGTTGTGAGCAGCTGAAGAAAGTTCACTTACAGAACCATATTGTGCATTCCTACCTCCAGTTGGAACATCCTATGCAACGAATAAAAATGTAAAATGAAACCTTACCACATCAGAAACATTGGTCGATTCGGGTAGAAATCGACTAAATTCTTGCAGTAAATCATCATGGCCATTCAGTAACTTGGCCACGTCCTGAAAAACTTGCATCTCCGCCTGTTTTCTGCGATGGCTATCAGTATTCTCCTGCTCACGTTGATACCACTGGAGAATTTCCAGAAAGCGTTTGTAAATATCAGGGCGCGCCTGAAAACGCTGCTTAACCTGGTTGACATATTTTATAGCATGACTGAATGACTGAGATTGAGGAGACTGATGTACGTTTGGGATGTATGGTGGCTGAGATTGAGGTGGGAGAGAAGTAGTATAGACCATGTCGAGGACATTTTGATTGCTAGGAGTGACAGTGCGTTGATAGCTGTGAGACTGTGGCGGCTGTGCCTCTGTTGTGGTTAATTGGGACCGTAGAACAGGAGGATGGGTCACTGTAGGGGTGTAAAAAGTAGTCTCCGATGTCTGTGGATAAGGTAAAGTAGTAGGAGTTGGCTCATGAGTTGTTCCTTCCGGGTGACGAAAGGCAGAAAAAGATGGAAGTCTGCTGCTTGAATTGCTATCCGCTTGGGATAAAGTTTGACTTGCTGGTGGGAAGGATTCACTGGAAGATCGAGAATAGACAGAGGAACCCTCTAGTCTGTAACCTTGGGGTATAAAAGTGTTAAATCCAACAATAAGGTCCGGATGTCCGTGGAATAGCTCTCGCACTCTACGGATGACTACATCTGTGCCAATACTTTGCGCCTTAAACTGACGCATAACATCCAAGAAGTCGTTGTAAATAGCATTTTGGTTTGAGAATCTGGCCTTCACTTGATCAAGATAGGAAAGAGCGTCAGCTACTTTGGGCCGTATCAACGACATCGTTGAAACAAGCTGAAAGTAAAGAATGCATACAATATGTAAAAAATAATATATTAAATTGACGGAAGACAATTTAATTCCTCTTTAAACGATGAAAAAAATTAAAAAGAATTAAAAGGTAAGCAGATATGAAGTTAAACGTAACACTAGTTTTGTGCTTACGATGTTTATGAACAATGATTTAATGTTAATGCATAGATTTTGACAATATCAGTAAGCACTATCATACGGGATATTATTGAAGCATAATTATTAATAATGTATTCAAATATGTTTCTCAGTTTCATATTAAATAGAGACTTAAAAAATTTCCATTAAATTCGTAAAACAAGAATATAACAAAAATTTATGAAAATGATATGAAAAAAAATATGTTCAAGCTTATATATAGGAAAATAAATTTTAATATTAGCATTATCATAAAGCTGTCAATGCTAAAACGTAGCAAAAATAGGTTCCACTTAGACTGAAATACAAAAATATCCAATAAAAACACATTCTTATTATTTGTCAAAAATATTCGATTTGAAACTGAAATTTCCAAAAAAAATCCACAAAAATATAAATATAAATATAGCAACTCACTTTCCGATTTTGTTAAATGAAGTCTACAAAATTCGCACCCAACGCCAAATTAATTAAAAAAGGAGCTAAAACAAGCATTTTTGTATGCTA